GTAATTAAAAGGGAAACTAAGAGAGATTGGCCTATGAGTTGAGTAGCAGATTTGAGCTAAGGGCCCTGTCCTTATTGGAAGTGGTCCTTGTTCAAATTTGGGCTCATTCCCAAGCCCAGGCTTTTAATTTGAAGTGGTTTTGGGTAAATTTGTGTCAAAAGGGTTGAATCGGAATTTCAAATCTCCTAATTTCCTGTGTGTGAGTTGGCATTGATTTGTGTTTGTATTGTTATAATCTGGTTCAAATCGTTTGGATTACACAAGCTGAGCCCAACGTTGTCCCAGTCGCACAAACAAGCCCAGCTATTATTCATATTTATATTGGCCCACCAACGATTGGGGCTGTTGGGATTTCGTTAATGTTGAGCCTAGCTCCTCATTTGGACTTCACGTTTCCCCCCTTTTCATCATTTCACATTTACTTATTCATAGGGTTTTAAAATATCATTTAGATGGGATTTCAATCACTGAAGGCCTCTAGTCAATTAGTTAAGTCCTTTCAAATGATTGTAGAGTTGGCCCAAATAGATAATAATAGTTCATGCCATTCTCCGAACTTTAGTCAGGATGTCCTTAAAAATAAAACGAGGTGCGCCGCGCCAAATAAAATAACAAATTGCGTGGCCCTCATTAATTATATCTTTTAAAATCTTTAGAACTCGGGACGTGCCATTTAGCAAATTTCTCTGGCCTCCCGCAAAGTTTGTTAACGCGTTAGTTGCTTTAGGCACGTTATTTAATAATTTTACCTTCTTAAACTCGGGTGTGCATTTCATGTGACCCAAATCCAAATCCTAAACGTCGAATAAAATGTGTTTTAGATTGCGGGTGCATTTCATGTGACGCTATCCAAAGACATGTTTTAAACGACGTTCAACATTTTTTAAAAATTGAATAAAAGCGGTTAAAAGCTAAAATTTGCACCATAGGCTAAACATGTACTAAAATCAGATAATTAAGCCGAATATGACAGTTGAGCGACCATGCTAGAACCACGGAACCCGGGAATGCCTAACACCTTCTCCCGGGTTAACAGAATTTCTTACTCGGATTTCTGGTTCGCGGACTGTTAAACAGAGTCATTCTTTTCCTCGATTCGGGATTCAACCGGTGACTTGGGACACCATAAATCTCCCAAGTGGCGACTCTGAATCTCTTAATAAATAATCCCGTTTCGATTGTTACTTCAAGTTGGAAATAACTCTATTTGTTATACCCTTCACGGCGTGTAGTAGAAAAAGGAGGTGTGACACCTTGATTAACACTTGATGGTCTTGATATATTATAAAAAGTCCGGCAATTTTTTGTTGGAGCATGAGCCTTTCTTGAAATTAATCTTTGCATAAGGCAGTCAACTATATGCCTCACTATTCAAACTCAATGCATTAATCTAAGCACAAGAAGTTTCCGCAAAATAAGATTAAATGAAATAATTTTTTATGTTGAGTACATCAGATCAAAGATATAAGAAAAAGGCAAAAGAAAGAAAAATTTCAGAAATACGCCATGACTTTTTGATCGAAATCTTCGCCTCCCGTGTGAGTTTATCCGTTCGTAATCATCAAAACCCCGGAAACACCTTAATATAGAACACGTAACATATATTGTTCTTCTTGTTGGACTTGATTAGATCACTGAACGAACGTAAAATAGTTGGGGCATATCGATCATTGGAGATCAAAATGAGATTGACTCAAACAGGACAACATGCTACAAAATTATGAATTTTTACCATGCAATTTAGTGCCTGCGAATTAAATATTTGGTGGTTACGTAGTTGAAAAGTCACAACCTTAATACAGAGTAAGTTTTATGTACACCTTCTAAAATTAGAAAACTAATTTTCGCGTTCATAATTAATTGCAACGATTGAATTGCATTGAATGGATTGGAACAGTTACATTGGATTCAACGGAAAGTTGTGACTTTTGGATTTCTAAACATAAATAACATTGAATTTAATAAAATTATCAAATGAGAGAAAAGTCAAAAAAAAGGAAGAACAAAAAAAAAGATAAGTGAGTTCTTGGAGAAAGAGAGGTGTCACTTTAGTTTTTCAATTCC